ATAGGGCCCTCCCTGGTGGCGCAGCGGGTTAAAGCACTGCACTGAGAAGCTAAAGCCACTTCCGCATGAGTTCGATTCCCGCCTGCCCCGGAGGCGACCACATGGCGCGGCAGACCTCTCCTCACCCGCCCGCTGCTCCCCTCAGCAGTGTACTTCGTCGATCCGCCTATTCTGCTCTCCACTCTGTCTCTGGCGAATCCTCTCACCCTCCGCATCTCTGGACTATACCCCAGTTCTGTATGAATAAATAAATAAATCTTTTTAAAAAAAAAAATGTGGAATAGAGTCCAGTACAGAAGAAGGGGAGAAAAGTTGCATGGGGAGGTATTCTGACTTAAGACAAAATTGTTCACTTCTTCATCCCACAGAATATTCCAAAGCTGATGGAAAATAGTGCTACAGAACAGAATTTATTCTGGGAAAAGAGTTGTAGTAGCTGAATTTAACATTTCTATTGTTATCAAAATAATTATTTTTTCTTATTAAAAGGAGTTGTCAAGATTACAGGAAATTCACTCTCCTAGCAAATAGGTGCACAGATCTCCCAAACTTGGCCACAGTAGAGTCCATGCAGATATTGTGGACTTCTGGCAACTGAAATGTCAGTAATTTCAGAATGACTATTGATCAAGAAATCTTTGACATATGGACAAAACAACAGTTGGAACAAATATCAAAACACAGTATCTTCATATGTGACCTTTAGAACTTACTGGCTTTGCATGCTGGTAACTCACTGAAGATCCTGAGGTCACAAACTCAAAATGACAATGCCTAACTAATGTTAGTGGCATCACATAATGGATGGATATATGGAGGTGGAGAGAATCTCAGTCTGGTAGCCAAGTCAGAGTCTATGGAAGCCTGGGAGGAATGAGGAATGAGTCACCTTTAGAGGATCACTCATTCATTCATTAATTCATTCGTATTTTATTTAGTAGCTACCTTGCTCTTAGAGAGTTTACTATCTGGTACAACAGAAAGGACACCCACTTCCTACATTATCATGTGATAAATGGGAGAGAGATGAATACATTCTCTATGGGGACCATGAAGTATGAAAATGTACAAATGTCATTTTTAAGTGACATTTATAAAAGCCAAAGAAGAGATGACATTTGATTTAGTTCTGAAAGAATGAGAACACACAGATGCCACTTACGTATATGATATTCAGGGTGATACTAGCACTGATATTTCCAGTGGAGCTAAGAGTTGTATCTTGGAAATCATTATAGTACTGAAATGACACACCCTAAGAATTGGCTTTGTTGCTGGGCGCAACCATTTTCTGGTTTAAGTTGGATCAATATAATTTTACAACTTCTGCTCTTCCTGCTTCCAAAATGGTAGACATTCATTTCTCATGGCTACCTGCTAAGTACTGATTTAAAGTACATTACAGTCTACTACAGAACTCCTGACAAAATGACAATGCAAGACATTGTATGACAATGCTGGTTACCTTCACCTGAACCAAGCATCAGAGACTCAGGAATCCATTTCCCTAGGGATTAGGGCTTCAACATTCACAATCACTGAAGTAGTCTGAAGAAATAACATTTCTGCTGTTTCACCTGTAGGACTTGCGTTGCCAAAGGAAAGGTGAATCCAAAAAGTCACACAGATAATGGATGCATATTTTC